CACACACACACACACACACACACAGTCTCCAGTTCCAGCTTGGAGATGACTTGGGTTTCAAATGTTTTGCTACTAACTTGCTGTTATAAACCTCCCTGGTCCTGTAAGAGAGGAATATAACCTATTTATCAGGATTATCAGGAGGAATAAACGAAGTAATAATAGCAAAATGTTTAGCATGGTTCTCATGTGTATGTGCATGTGCATGTGCATATGATGCTTTACTTCAGTGTAGTTCTCATAGAGGTGGTGCTTGTTTTGTGCTATATTGTCCCATAATCTTCCTAAGGGATGTGGGGGCAGACAGGACCCTCTTGTAAGCCTCTCCTTCTAGTCCCAAACTCATTGGCTGAGTTCTGTTGAAAGTTCTGTATTTAGCTTTTTCTTAGGCTGGACTGTGCAAGACAAGCACTTTAAAGTGTTCCAACTTTATTTACAATCAAACCCCTGGTCCCCCACTTCATCTTCACAGCTTCGCTTGAGAGAGGAACTGGATGAAATAACTCTTCAGTCAAGGCCAGCTTCTTGGGGCAGTGCCCACTGAAGAGGGGACTCTCACTTCTTCTGGGCTTGTGCTCTGGCCCGCTGAATCTTGTCAGCTGTGGCCCCATCAGAGGCTCCAGTGCAGTGGGACAACACAAGACTCAACTCAGCCTCATTCCGGTGCTCGATGGCCACATCTGCAGCCTGAGCTATGTCTCTGTGGTTTGAGCAGGAGGGAAGATGCTGTTGGGGCTGTGTGAGGATGCAAGCTTACCTCTTATCACCCAACTGGCGCAGCCACCTTGCACCCACAGGGCCCTCATTTGACGCACCCAACAAGAAGCAAGGCTTTGACCTTCTGCTCAGGACCCACACGGGAAGCATACTTCTTGGCCTCATATTTGTTGTGCTGTTTCATGCAGATCTCCACAAAGGGCTTTGCAGGAGAAGGATGGGGTGGAGAGAAGAAAAAGCATAGCCTTCTTGGCCTCTTACCAGCCAGGCCTAACAGATACACTGTCCTCATATACTTTATACACCAGACAGGAATATGGTCCCTTCCCCACCCACACGACTGCTGTGATCTCAGCATTCTTAAGGCGCATACAACAAAACCACAGGTCTTGTTGGAGCCTTAAGAACAATTATTTTCACACTTCTTCTCCACCATCTACCACTACCCCTGAAAAACAGGTATTCAATGTCACTTGCCCTCAAAGGTCCTGTGTTTTCTCTCATAGATGCCATTAACATACCTGCCCTCCACACCTCTGAACCACCTGCCCTATGAAATTACCCCTGATATCCTCCTCTTCATCATAGATATGCTATCCTAACCCCCATCACGCTTCAGATCATACAGGACTTCCCCTCAGTCACATGGTGTCCACAGCCCTCCTTTGTGAAAATAGCTCATTCTTCTACTCCCCAATGTTTAAAGTCAGATGGGCTACCCTCCTGAGCACCTAACAGAGTAGATGGTGTCTGTCCAGAAATGCATGGACATAAGAAGGTCTGGCTCAGTATGTGGGCAGCAGAACAAGTGTACGAATGGGTCACTCTGCCTGTTTCTCTATCCAGGACTACCCTTCCTGATAAGGGGCTGGAGAAAGGATCACTGCCTCACCAGGTAACCGATGGGTGATTTTTTGCTCTTGGAAAACTTCTCCAGCTCTTCCCAGTCTTCCAAATCTGCTAGGGCAGTGAGCTTCAGCCACCAGAGCCTGCGGGAAAGCTGGGCTTGGAGGTGCTGCAGCAGAAGCAGGTGTCCTGGAACCACATTCAGACTGGCCACTCACCTACCTCTTGTCAGGGATGCGGAAGTCACGTGCCAGCTGTTCTGCACGCTTGTTGTGGCCACCAACAATGAGGGTGGTGACTGTGTCATGTAGAGACAGGTCTAGGAAATGGCCTCCCAGGTCATCTTCTAGGCGCCGCTGTAGCCGGAGGAGGCGCATTTGATCCTCTGTGGCCTGGGGACCAGAATTAGGCAGATTGGAGATGAGTGGAACAAAGAAGGAAGACCAGAAGGAGGGGAAAGGAGGTTCTTAGAAAACAGCAGGCCATACCTTGGCTGAAAACTCATTCTTGGCCTTATAGAAGGCATCAGCTGCTGTCTGCAGAGCTGCTACTCGCCCTTCGATGCGCTACAAAGACAAAGAGAATCCAAGTTTGCAGTGCATGGGGCCCTGGCCCTCCTCACTCAGATGACAATTTTCTTCCCAGATTGCTGTGCCCAGGGTTGCCATGGTCAACCCTCCCAGCTAGGAGCACACCTCTGGTATCCTACAGGGCTGGCTAGCTCCTCTGGGACCAGCCCCCCCCACATCTTCTCAGGCTCTTCACAGGGAGCACCAGATGAGGTGCACACCCAATGCAGAGGACTAGCTTCTCAGAGAAGGAACCAGACCAATAGCCCATAGGCCCACCCACCCCCATAGACCTAGGACCTCTTCAGTATAGCTGGCTCGGAGGTGGAAGCTGCCCAACTCCTGGTGATTGTCATCTTGATTGTAGAGGTCCTTCAGTGTCTCTAGCTCCTGATGCTTACAGAACTGGGGCCACAGGAAGGCAATTGGTCAGCAAAACCAACTCAAGGGCTCAGGAGGCTTCATTCCTGCCCCTGCCCACCACACACACCTGTCGGTACAAACTTAGGGCCATGGGCTGGTTCCGGAGGGTCATGAAAAAGTCTCCTCGGTTCAGCTCATTTTTCAGGTGCAGTAACACTGTGAACACTGTGGGACAATAAGGTAACAATAAGGTAAGGTAGGGACTTCAGCCTGGGCCCTGCTTAGCCTAGGGGTCCCAGCCTGGCCCTCACCCAAGTCAGTGTCCCCGCTCTCAATGGCCTTGCTCAGTGCCAGTTTGCTCCTTTTCATCTTGAGGAGAAGGGGTACCTGCTCCCCTGAGCGTGGTTCATACTCCAGCAGCTGTGGGATGGGGAAGAAGGCAGAGAGAGAAAAGAGTTGGTATGGGGGCCTTGAATGCTCATGAGTGTGTTTGGGGAAGGCTAGGCACCCACACCTTGATGGCCAGCTCTGTGCGGCCACAGCCATAGGCCCGTGCAGCAATGTCTGAATATGAGACACCAGGAGTGTCCCCCAGTTTCTGATTAATAGCTCGTGCAACATCCTCATCTGACACATCCTTCTGTTGTACCTGCAAAGTATATCAGGTGTCATTTTTTACCCCCGCTTCACTTCCACCTTGCTGGGCCTCAAATCACCCAAATACCTCTGGAGCTCATCCTACATCCTTGCCTTGTAGCAGGCCCAGTGTGCCAGGATCCTGCTGATGCCCTGTACTTCAGGAAGGCGCAAGTACTCGCATATCTGGATGGCGAGGGGGTAAAGTCTCCGCAACACAAGCCTGGAAAATAAGGTATGTGTGTGGAAAAGAGGGTACAAGGGGCAAAGTGGGACAGAAAGAGGAGCCTGAGTAGCCCTAGCCCATGCCTCCGGCCTCCCAAATCCTAAAAAGGTATTTTGGGAGCAGTGATCATAAGACTCCAGTAAAGGGTGTGATGCCCAACCATGTCTAGCCCTCCTACAGCCCTTGGGCTTGCTGTACCTGTCCAGTAGCACCTGGATAGTAAGTTGCTTGTATCTGTGTTTTCCTGGTTAAGGATCCAGCTGGTGATAGCTGTTTGCCAAAGACTTGCTGACAGCATCTCCAATCCCTTCCCTTGCCACATCTGGCTATAAATGCCCTCCCACCATGCGTGGGGATACTGGCTATAGGTAAGGGGAATCCCAATGTGGTAATCCCGAACGGCATTGAGCACACGCAGGTCCTGACACATGCGTACAAAGCTGTCAGGTGGAAATCTGTCGAGGAAACACTTTCCAAAGGAGGCCGCCTGAGAAGAACCAGAGAGCAATGAAAGAGAGATCCCCTGCTTCCCAGCCTGCCCATTCCCAGCACACCTTCCCCCAGGACCCCCTCCAGGCCAACCCTGAGCAGACTCTTCTGCATGTCTGGCCTGTGCTCATGTCCTGCAGCCTCAATGCACTGCTGTACTGCCTGGGTTAGCTGCCCCAGCTCCTGGATCTCTCGTAGGTACTCATCTGCCTTCTGGCTCTCTTTCTGCAGAGAGAGGCCCAGAGATGGAGCATTATGAGATGATACTCCATGCCTGGCCCCACCCTACTCTGTACTGTGGTTCCAATGGGATAGTTTGGAGGGGGTGCACCCGCTGGAGCTCTAATCCCCTTGGCCCATTCAATCTATCTGCAGTGCCCATAGAGCCCACAGATATCATATCAGCACACAACTGCCTGTGGGGAACTTGACACTTCCCGATGGTAGTACCCACTTGTACCTGGCTAGGGATAGTAAAAATGCTCTGCCTTTTCCGTTCATTATGTGGAGAATACCATGCTCCTTCAGTCTACCTGACCCAGCCCTCCCCACTGCAGGCCAGTATGCTGCCTAAATCTTGCTCTTAACAGGTAGCACCTGGTTGTGCCTATGCATGCCCAGGTAGTGGCACAAGGCTAGGTGAGTTAGGCTTGAAAGGGAAGGAAAGAATCTTGAGGCCTTGGAAGAAGCCCAGGGATTTACCTCATACTCCTTCTGGGCTTCCAATAGCAGTGCTCCAGGGGCCATTGAAGCAATTTTGAAGATCTCCTCACTGGCCACTAGGGGAGGGAGTTGGTTAGTGAGTCAGGGTAGGAGGCAAGAAAATTCCCATTCCTGCCTCAACAACTAGGCTCTGCTTTGAGCCACCAGTCTGCCCTGGATTATGTGACGCCCTTGTGGGGGCCTCACCTGGAACCTCATGCAGGAACTCATGGGTACTTCGGGAGAAAATGCGGACTCCATCGAGTTCAGGAACCAGGTAGGAGTCCTCATCTAGCACAAACCTGAGCTTGGTCAAGGCTCCTAAGAGCATCCAAAGATGGGGAAGGACAGGTCATCCTCCTCACCCGATTCCACCCAGACAGCCCTTCAAGGATACTGGATGCTCTCTGGTGCATTGCCCACCACCATTAGTCGCCTCTCCCAGGCCACCACAACAGCCCTCTCCTTGCTGCGAGGACGGCTGCACCTGTGGGCAGCACCATACACTCATCTGAACACTCACAGGACAGCAGGCTCCCAATTGTCTCCCATATCACTGCTTGCATCCCTTTGCCTTGGGACAGCCTGGAACATGCTTGTGCCCTTTATCCCATTCCTCTGGCCACGTGCTGACCTATGTGCTTCCCTCTTAAGCATGCACTGCTAGCTCCTGAGGTCAGTTGCAATCAACAGAGGATAATGGTTTAAGTGTGTACTGGCAGAGAAAGGAAGATCCAGGTGCCACTTTCTTAATCAGTAGAAGGGATGAATTAAGATATCCCAGGAAACAAGGCTGTGTCCCACCTTCATCCCCAAATCACACCGCTATCCTTACCAGACCATTTGCTTTGGTGGTGCTCGAATGTTGCAGTTGAACTCACACAGCTTGTCCTGAAAGGGTGGAAGATGTCATGACCCTATCCCAGCAGTCACTACTCTGGTTGAAAAAGCTCCTCCCCATCCCCAATAGATCTTCCCTGGACAAGGCATGATTCCCCATTGTCCCAGGACTACACCGTAAGTGACGCTGTTCCCATCCAGATGTAGCCCGTGTCTGTGAAGAGTGCCAGTTGTCGATAGGTAAAGGAGACAGCCATCTGCAGGAAGCTAGTCACTCCTGGGGGTAGTCCAGGGGGTGTCTGTGGCAAGGTGGAGAGGACAACTGATAGACTAACTTCTGAGCTTTCTCACTGCCCCCCTTAGTCCTCACCCTTCATTCCCACTCAGGGCCTCACCACTGCAGAGCAAGTTGCGTGATCCAAGAGGTAAAGATCAGGCCCCACAGCCAGAAGAATGTGTGCTACTCGTTCCTGAAACAATGTAGTCCAGCATGAGGGTGCACTTTGCAGGCCTGTGTCCAGGAAAGGGGACAAACTCAGGATGACTAGAGCCATAGATTGTGCCTTTGTTGATCCCACAGTATGAGGGCAAACCTGCAGCACTGAGTGGCTGTGTCCAGGGTTTCATGGCTTACTTACCTGGCACCTCTGGCATCCGCCGGAGTTTAAGGTCACCTACATTGGCACTGAGGGTAAAGCGATGGGCCCCTGTGAGGATGGCCACCCCAGAACCAAGCTCAGTGTGAAAAATCCGGGCATCTAGAACCCGGTTCTGCAGCACCTCCTGGGGAAAAAAGTCATGGGTAGAGGAAGCCATAAGGTCATAAATTCTATCCTCCTTCCCCAGGCCCTGGGTCCCTACATTGCCCATGCTAAAGTGTCTCCGGAAGTCACCATGAAGCCCATAAACCAGTACTGCACCATCTTCCTGCACGCAGAGCAGTTCTTCCTCAGCTGACCAGCCCATGGACACCACAGGTCCACTCTTCCACTGTAGAGAAGAAAGATTCCTGAGGCTATTCTTGGGAAAAGGAAGCTCTGTTCAGCCCACAGCCCAGGAACAGTCCAGGGTACTCACCAGTAGGCTAACCAGGGGCACACCAGAAGCAGAATAGATCTCAAGAATGGGCCGTACACTGGCAACTTTCTCCTTTCGCCAGGGGTTCCTCAGCAGTGCTGCAGTTTGAGGAAAGACTTCTGACCTAGACCCTCAGGCCCCCATGTAAGGCAGGTCTTGTGGATTAGCTCCTCAGGCCTATCCCATGGGAGGCACAGCTCATGAGAATCAGAATTAAAAGCCTCTCAGCAGGGTGAGTTGGCAAAGAACAACCCGAGAGCAAGGGAGGTCCCAAGGAATCAAGGCCTTGAGTTCATCCCAAGGTGCCGCCGCATGAAGTAGTGGGGTTGCAACGTACCAATGGGGCCCCCATAGGGTGCAGCAGCTACCAGGCAGTCCCTGAGTTCCTCTTTCAGGTCCCAGTCCATGCTGTACAGTTCATATTTCCTGCCCACAGAGACAAACAGATTAACTTCCTCATGGCCCCGCATCCAGATAGAGTAAGCCTCCACAGAATTCTTATATTCTCCCTTCAAAAGAGTTCTCTCCACACACTAGAGGCAGGAAGGGGGATGATGACCAGAAACTGACCACATTCATTCCTGGGGACAGCAGGCAGGGGAACAGAGGATGTTGTCAGGGAAGGATGAGGCAAGAGTCTGAGATTGGCAGGAGCTCCTGAGAGGCAGGCTGTGTGACCAATATCCAAGGCACAAACTGAGATAGGCCTAGGGGGAGGGGTAGCTGCCTCAGGCCAGTATCAGCAGGAAATGAGACCCTCTCAGTGGGTTTCTCAGGAGAGGGAGCCTTTCTTCTTTTCTAGTTTTTAACAATGGATCAGGTTACAAGCTTTATCCCCAGGGGTCCAGCTATGCTTGGTGATGATGAAGTGTTTTAGACATACCGAGTTAGCAATGCCTGAAAGAAATCCAAGTGGAGCTCTTCAGTGAGATGAGGCTGGAGCATGAGTTCTTATGCCAATCTGTGAATGCCTGGCTTGTGGGAGGTAACAAATCATAAGCAGGCACCAGTTGACTGCAATCTGAGCTATGTGTGGATCGCTGTGTGTGTGTGCTACAAGAGAAGCCAGGGTAGATAGCTTGAAGCATGCTATCATTTGGAGGTGGGAAAAAGGAGGTAACAAAAGAGAGAGGAGAATGGTGTCCTATTTCAGGACACCAAGAAAAGACAGTATTTAAGAAGGAGGGCATTTCAGCTAGTATCATATCAGCAGTCTTCCCACTCATGATCAGGAAGATGCCCACCATTATCTAAAATCCTTCTTGGGGGTTGTGCTCAAAATAATTTAAGGAAAAAATGAAAAGAGTTTTATATTTTGGAGAAGGAAAAAGACTATTACTAAACTGAGCGTCAATAATTTGAAAATCCAAAAACTGAATGATTTGAAATCTAAAACTTTTAGTGTTGGGTTGGATTTTGGAGCACTTTGGATTTTGGATTTCCAGGCTAGGAGTGCTCAAGTGGTTAAGTCTATGCAAATATTCTACAATCTGATAAACTCCAGAATTTGAAACACTCAGATAAAGGATATTTAACCTGCATTTGCAGTTAATGTGATTGTCTACTTAAAAAATTCAAAACAATGAATAAGAAGAGTTTAGCACGATGATCAACCGTTTTCCATACCAAGAAACTTTTAAAACTATATTATACCAATAATCATTTAGAAATGCTTAATTTTGTTTAAAAAAATTTTTTTTAATTTATCAGTACATTTTAGATATATATAATAACGTTCAGTACAGGAAATTTGTACCTGTATATACTATATGTTGCTGCTGCTTCTTTTTTTTTTTTTTC